TTTTTTCCAAATCGTTTCATTTCATCTCATATAATTTTCATTTTACACTAAATAAAATAAAAATTAAAAATTAAAAATTACAATATAAATTAATTTAATTTATATAAATTAAATTTGGGCATTACAATTATAGTTTATCGTTATTAATTATGGAAGACTTTAGAAGAATTAATTACCCTATTGCGTTATCATCACAAGCCAATTAACATTGTATGTTATACAATAAGATTAAAAAAAGGTTTATCTTATATACAATTTGACTTATTCAATCCAATATATATAATAATTTATTAAAATTGTTGTTTTAATACATTTTTAAAGCACTCAAATATAATTTAACCATTTAATTTTTTATTAGAAAATTAAAAAAAAACTAAATATTTGAAATAAATAAAAAATATCAAAAAATAAATTGTAATAAAAATATTAAAAATTAAATTACTATAAATGAAACGACCCAGAACTAGAAAGAGAAATAAATTATAAATTGAATTCGGAAGTGAAATAATAGCGTTAGAGTTTACATTCCTTACACAATAATTCAAAATATCCAATAGGGATACGTGAATGACCATTCTAAAAGAATAATAAAAAATTAAAGAAATAAATGTAAAGTAAACAACTGAATATTCTATTTGCAACCTTCTTACGAATCGGGATCTAGATATTTGTCATCTTGATCTAGAAAAGTTAATGAAAGAGGGAGCTACACTATCCAGTAAGAATGTCACACTACTCATCAATACAGAAATGAAGTTGGTAAAAATCATGAAAACAACTAATAGAGCTCTTAATTTAAACAAATTCATTTATCATAAATAAAATCATTTATTGTACACTTACTGTAACGAAATTTTCAAAACTGATCTATAGAGGCAATAACACGACAATATTATAATCTCATATTCAATTAAGTAAGAATAATAACTTTTTTTTATCTGCCTGCTGTATCCGTGAAGATCCATGGGATGTCTCCATTACGTGTGAACCCTTATTCAACATTGTCAACTAACCAGCTGTCCCCATACCCCGTCCGATATAAGCGTCAAAAATACCATC